CAGCGTCATCGATAGGAAACTATCGATGACGCATATTTAGAACACGAGTCGCGATAACGCGAACATGCGTCACCGATAAGCGTAAGACGCGTCAGCGATAAGGAAATAGAGTGGCGCTTATTCAGAATACGGCGTCATCGAAAATGGGAACACGCGTCACTAATAAATCCATATCGGCGACACTTATTTGTGGGAACCAGCGTCACTAATAAGTCTATATCGGCGACACGTTGTGGTAACACACGTCACGAATAAGGATATATGAGTGACACATACTAAGAATATCGTCAGCGATTTGCATCATCGATAATTTGATATCGGTGACTCATGTCTGTCTAATGTGTCACCGATAGCATATAACAAATGTACACATTGCTCATCGAGAACCCCACATCGTTCACGGAAGAAATATATATATATATATATATATATATATATATATATATATATATATATATATAAGTCATCAATATGTAACATGTTCACACGAGATAGACATCAAGTTCAACAGATTCACATTTATATCAAATGTTCACAACTTGTTCAAAATCCATCACAACTTGTTGAAATCCATCTAAACATTGGGCTTAATTTATTTAGTCACACACTACATCTCTGGACTCACACCGATAATGGCAAACACACATCTTTGGTCATGATGGAACTCTCCTTTCTTCTCAATGACTTGTTCCACTAAGAACCTGGCTAGCTTTTCTCTAATCATGAGCATATCGATGGGCGTCGTCAACACTTCAAATTCTGTGTCAAGATAGAACTTTGGTAAAAAAAGAAAACATGGTACAAGTACAATGTACAGGACAATATAGACAATCAATGTAAAAAATCACAGTTGCTAAGCTTGATGCAAACAATCAAGGGACATAGGAACATCCGCAGATGTGGAAATTCATTAGCAAGCAGATGGTCTTTGTGCCTATGTCTATCACTGAGTAAAATATATAGGCAGCGTAAAGCATCGAGCATTCGAGCTTATGACTAAAGTAGTATCTTGTGCATGTTTCCACTGAAAAGAAACTGCAGAGTTTTCTTCTACATCAAGGGAATAGCCTACAAATGTAGTGAAATCGCATTAAGGTTTGAAATACAACTGTTACTTGAGACTTTTTTTCGGACACGCAGGACTGTTTCCTTTGAGACTGATTTGAAGACAGAATGCTGAGGCCACACAAACTTTTTCATCAAGACTATGAGCAATCGGCTAGTGCCACTATTACCGAATAATGATACTCAAATTGAAACACAAACTAGCCACTGCGACAATGGCCACACTATATCCGAGTGCTAGGAAACAAATAAACAATCAGAGAAAATAATATGTTAGCTAGCTGCATGCTCCTAATCCAATCACTAAACTACCTGGAGCATAAGGAGGTTCAGCTGCAAAAGCACAGAGCTGGCACCTGCTCCTCCACCCTCATCAGATCACTCCCCAAAACGAAAAAGACAGGTAGCAATACAAATAAAGCCTCCACCTTTTCTCTTCTCTTGAGATAGAAAAAGACAGGTAGCAGAACAAGTACCATGGCTAAAAACTATACTAGGACATGACACAGTCACACACACTCAAACAACCATGGGCCATTATATTTGCACATCCAAAGTTTAGATATGAATACCTCAGAGTATTCCAAGTTTGTCTTTCTCATAGCTAAAAACAAGTGGTGTGCGAGCATACCACCCAGATGACTTAGCGAGAGAAGATTGTTGAAGGCTTTGCGACAAATATATATAGAACACAATAATTTGAAAATAGAAGTTGAACATGATTACTTAATATACTAGAGGCACAATATTGACTTTTATTTTTGGAAGCACTTACCGCATATTTAAAAGCGTGTTTCAATGGTCGTGGTCTGTCTTTCAGCTTGTTTGTGTGTCTTGCAAAAGCCCTACATGTAAGAGTACAACACACACATATATATGGCTCATTATGTTGGTTCAATGATATTGGCACTTATGAAACAAGTCAATAGTAGGTAAGCAAACAACTCACTCGTCAATCAACAGTTTTAGCACGCTGAAATCATGGTTTTCAGATCTGTTGGAATCAAGGTATATGACCTTATTCCACTTTTGAATTATTACCACGACGATCCAATGATCACCAGCTAAGCCACTTGAGAGTTGTAGGCTCTTGTCCGGTGGATGGTGGACAGCAGCTGTGCTTGTTAAAGACATCGGCGTGCACTAGATGGCTGCTGCATTGTTTTAAACATGCAGCATGCACTAGAATTTGCTGCATAGTGCACCATCTATAATTAGCTTAAGCTCTCAACTTGTACCGCATGCCTTTTAAATAACACTTAAAACTTAAAACTGCAGGGCTTAGCAAAGTTTGGGGCCTAATATATCTCAAACTATTGAGTGTTTGATCTATGTTCTTAAACAAAATGATAAATCTATGATCCAGTAACCTATTTTTGGAGGCCAATTGTGTTAGCTATACACTAAATCAGCAGAAAATGGTCATAGAATAGGCCTTTGCTGAAATCAACACAGAATAGTGCAATCACAGAATATAAAGGCACAACATCTAACTGAACAACAAAGTTTCCAATGGCTGCAAAAAGATCAGTGATATTGCTACTTGGTCAGATTCTCCTATAAGTACAAAAAAGATAGAGATGCCTGCATGAAAAAAGATATGCTCACCCAATTATGTAGGTCAAACACAAAACTGCATGCTCCGATGTGTATATATATGTAAAAAAAAACAAAAGTTCACCAAGAATTAGTTAGCTCATTCAGAGCGGACATATCATTATACCGACTTATTCGAAGTGACCATTCCGCTAACTTATAGAGTGACCATAGGCTAGCTATCCATTTTCAGCTAATTGGTAGAGTGACGGTGGTCATTCATGTGCTGAAATCACTTGAGGCAAATATATCATAATAAGTTGTCATTCAAACTTAAACCTTACTCGGAAGTCGGAACAGCTAGCATCGGTACCAAATAACAGGCTCAACCTTGTTAAATAATTGAAAAAAACTCTTCTAAGTTCAATAAATAGTGAATACATGAAAAATCAAAATTTAGCAGAGTATGTGAGGCTGTAACCAATATATCGGACATCCCAATTCGGTTAATCAATCACATATAGTAGCAGGTATTCATTGAAGAAAGCAAGCAACATATTTAATCCGTAGAAAGCAAGCACATTCCACACAGTATATTAATTCCATAAAGTACAAATCTTATCATAGTGCAAAAAACACAGCTTAGTACAAATCCCAAAAGGCAATTTACAAATTCCTAAGTGCAAACATCTAGGAGATGGAGTAAGGTAGTTCAATGTAATAAGACCTAAAAATATTTTTTTTCAAACATAGATAGGAATAGTAAGGCACGCATCAAACATGACTCACAAGCTACGGAGATTTGGAGGAAGATTATATGCAATATCACTGCCTCCATGGTTATTGTTGCTTTCGTATAATTGGATCGTTAAAATCGATCCATGGATAACAGTAGGAAGGGTATGCTCACAAATCACAATAGCAGGTAAAGGCATGGATTTGTGGTCTTCACCATTGTTCGATCTAGCTTGATAATCTAACCTAAACCCACCTTTGTACACCACGGTTTGTGCACTAAAACCACATAGGACTAAAAATCCAAATCGGGATAATCTAGAGTTTCCATGAGGACACGAGCAAATAGCAATAATGCAAGGCAAGCTGCAGAAAGGGGGCCTAAGAAGAGCCAAAAGTGTTCTCACCAAAGACGTGGAGGCGGGTTGAGAGCAGACATCTCGTTCCCGCCGCCGCGTCCCTGGAGAGCAGGAAGCTGGTCATCCGTGGCCGAGGCCGCAGCGCTGCACTCTTAGCGTCGGCGCATCCCAAGGAAGAGTGCGAGCTCCCCATCCTTCTTCATGATGACGGCACCGAGAATCCAGCCCCTAGCCTCGCCGTCCATTACTCCCACCCGGCGCTGCATCGACGTCACTCCAACAGCACGGCCTGTGGCGTCATTAGGGTTCTAGCAAGCGAGATCTGTGGCACCGAGGAATGAGGTGATGCTGAATCTCCGGCCTCGCTAGATCCGCCGTCGGCTAGGGCCTCTATCTGCTCGAGCCGCTACCTCACCAGATCGTACGAGGGCCGTGCCCAGCGCTTGCTCTCCGGCGGGCTGCCTCCTCACCAGATCCATCCATGGAGCCGTCGTGGTTGGGGAAGGGGGAGGTGGAGGAGGAGGGGAGGTGGAAGCGGAGGAGGAAGATGGGATGTCGGGTGGCAGAGAGTAGAGGCGATGGCGGTGGAGGAGCGGGAGGTGGTGACCGCTGCCCGCCGTGCGGAGTGCAGGAGGCGAGAGTTGAGAGAGAGAACAGGGAAGGCGAGAGGGCGAGGGGCCAGGCGAGGGGGAGCAGGATTTCGGACTTGAGTCCTCATTTGACCATACTTGATAATTTTTTCGGGTCCGAGGGTGACGGGGGTAATTGAAACGCGTCACTCGTAAGAAGCTCCTATTGTCAGTGACACATCTGGTTGGAAACGCGTCACCCATTTTGTTTATTTGCCATAGGCGACAGCATACCAGTGACGAGTTGTGTTCACCCGCGTCGCAGATAACATATTGGTGACGCGTTTTAGATCCAAGTCACAGATTAAGGCGTCACTAATAAGCATTTCTGGCATAGTGAACGTCGTCGATTATTCGCAGAGCACAGAGTCTTTAATTTTTTCGATAAAGACAGAGTCTTTAATAATTTAGTTATGTAGTAGGAGAAAAGGTATCACAAAATACTACACCGTTCTCTTGCATTATTGGCCTGGAAAAAGCCAATAATATATGCATTGCTGGCGAGTGGCGACGTGTCACGGAGCCATGCAAGCCAGTCCACACTATAAATAGGCACTCAGCTCACCACTCAGCCATAGCGGCTTGAACATAAGTACACCCAGCCACTCTCTCGCAGCTAGAGAGGATCGTCTAGCTAGCTGTATACTGGAGTGTGTAGCAGCCGGGCGGCAGCGCCATGATGCCCTATGGCACCGCAGCGGAGGCGGAGGCGGCGCTGGGGCGCTCTATGACCTGGGCGGAGGCCTCGTGGTTCCGCTACTCGGCGGCGATGCCGGACCTGTGGCTCATGTGGCACATCGCCCTCGTCTACCTCGTCGTGGATGCGCTGGCGCCGCTGCCCGCCATGATTCTCCAGCAGCTCGCGCCAGGCTATGCGCTGCGACACAAAGTGCAGCCCAGGGTACCGCAGCCCTCGCCGGTTTCCACCTACCTCCGCTACATAAGGGAGAGCAACCGTGTCGCCCTTGCCATCTTGGGTCCTTTCCCACTCGTCTACACCCTCGCATTCAAGGTCTCTCACCATGTGTGGTTAATTATATTTCTAATTTGTTGCATTTATTGACATGGAAATTGTCAACACGACCTGAGAACAAATTAATACCCTGTTTGCATCAACTAAAATAAGTTGTTAGCTGCTAAAGAAAACTCTTTTTTTTTCGAACGCTGCTAAAGAAATTAAAACTCTAGCCAATCCAAACAGCCCAAGTTATATCCCAAAAAAAAAGTTATAAAAACTATTGTTAGCTGGCTCTCTCCAGCTATTGTATGTAATAAAAACTTTAGCTGATCCAAGCAGAGTAGAAAAACATGGCTTAGGTGCTAACTTAAATGCTAATAACAATAATAGAAGTTGAAATTGTACAATGAATTATTATTATATATATGCTTAGGGATTGTCTACTCCATGTTATAAGAAAAGATTTAGGTGCATGAAAGGTAATTCCTCGCCTAGATTAAAGGTATTGTAAGAATCGGTGGATATTCTTTCCCCAAACCCGAATTTTTGGTTACACCAATTATACCTAGAGATTAGGTCAAATAGTTACCTAAGTCTAGTACATAAGTCGAGTGTAAATCCAACATAAGTTTTCAGTAACTACAACTGGGGTGTGGTGGGAGAGAATTATTTCACCCAAATTTAGTTTATTCCCTTACATGCATACTATTTTGGAAGAAAGAGAAAGGGGAGAAAAAATTCCATGTGTGAGCGAGGGAGAAGATTTTTACATACCTGGGTACAATTTAATGAACCTATATGCTTAAGACCTTGTTTGGATATCCGTCTGATTATAATAATTAGATTATATAATAAATTTTGATCCAAACATGATTGATTATATGATAAAATTATTATAATCAAAACTCTTGATTACCATAATCCCATAATCCAGGTGAGACCAGGTTATAGGGGATTATGAGTGCTGAAAGTCCATCTAACCCCCCCCCCCCAACTAACTATCCAACTTGCCAAATTATACATGATAAAATTGGAATTTCTCACTTTAACCAATCATAATGAATCAACATAATCCATAAGATCCAAACACTATGGTTATTATAATCATAATCCTGATTATAATAATTTTATGCATAATCCAGGTTATAATAATAGAGCTGCGATCCAAACAGGGCCTAAGCCTAGCTATGCAATTGTGTATTGGTCAATTCCATCCCTAATATTAAAGGGGAAAAGGTTTCTTGGTCTTTCATGGCTCGCAACCATTCGATGGGGTTCCGACGTGCTCAATTGATCTCTTCTATGCTTATACAAATTAGAGTACTGTGTCCAAGCACGATATAGTCCAATTCTGAAAAGAATTGAAATACGAAGTGTTTCCATAATCCGTCACCACTACCACTAAAATGATTTTAGGAGACAACCTCTCTGATTAACAAAGGCAGGCATATCTAAAGACTGCCTTCATAAATGGTAAGATAACCTCTAGGCAAATGCTCGCCTCTAAAAATCGCTATTAATAGAGGCAGATATTCTAAGTGTCTGTTTCTAAAAATAGTTGCATCAAAAAATAATTCGTAACTTTTTCATTTAAAGTCAAATAAAGACAAACTTTATATCAAAAGTGGCCCTAGATGTGATCTACAACTATGTAGTTGAGAAGTTTTTTATTTGAAACTATTTAGAGTCCAAAAATATTGTTTTTTAAGTTCATTGATTTTGAAATTTAAAATATTCAAACAAACTTGGATGATGACATGGTCTATAACAAAGTTGTATTTCTCAATATAATCTACAACTCTATAATTGAAAATTTGTTTGATTGAAAGTCATTTAGAGTCGCACATGTGTGTTCTAAGTTCATAGATTCTGAAATTCAAAATTTAGATTTTCTAAACAATCTTAAATGTTCTCATAGTTAATACCAAAGTTGAAGTGGCCGACCTGATCTACATGTTTGCTACTGATATGTTTTTATTTGAAGTTGTTTAGTGTCTCAAATATTTGTTTTAAGTTCACATATTTTGAGAATCAAGTTTTTTATTTTTTTTCAAACAATCTTGGATGGTGACACATCCTATTCCAAAGTTGTAGTGCTTGACAAGATTTAAAACTTTGTAGGTGAAACTTTTTTCAATTGAGTTTATTTAGTAACCAAAATATTTAGTACAAGATTATAAAATGTTGATAAATTAAAAGATATCATCCTATATATACACACAAATGATTGTGTGGTACAGTGATAAGGAGATTTTGCCTACCTCTAATAACGGTGATGTCGACCGCCTCTGTAAATGACGATTAACAGTGACGCTGGGTTAGAGACGGATGGTTTGCCTACCTCTAATAAAAAAGTGACCGCCTCTAAAAATCTATTATGTAGTAGTGCACTCTCTCAAGTGTCCATGTGAGTTAACTGTTCAGGCATGGCACAGAGTCCAAAACAAATATGTGTCCACACAATGATTGATAGATCTCTAAACCTTCGGTGCACATACGAGTTAGACAGCATGTGTCTAGGTACAGTGTGGAGTTTGATTCTTAAATGAATTGAAACATATATGACCTCATCGCTAAATAAATCTTCAAGCCACAACTTGTTCAAGTAACAATGCAACATGCTGCTAGTGGGGAATAAAATGAATGGTGCTTACAGTTAATTCCCAGACAAATTAAGGTTTGAATTGATGATAACCTCAAGAATAAACAATGACAAGCTATATTGAAACCAAGCTACTAATTAATTTCTAGCACGTCAGCTTGCACGACTAAATTAACTGATGTAATTATTTCTAGAAAAGAGGTGATCTACTCAGCTTGATCTTTATATTATATATATATATATATATATATATATATATATATATATATATATATATATATATATACACACACACACACGATCATACATATACATATACATACATTGCAGCTGTTTGGGGTCCGGACGGGACTCCCTTTGCCATCGGTATGGGAGACAGCGATGTACCTGGTGGTGTTCACCTTGGTGGAGGACTACCTGACGTACTGGATCCACCGCTTTCTGCACACCAAGTGGGGCTACGAGAAGATCCACCATGTCCACCACGAGAAGACGGCGCCGTCCGGTTTCGCCGCGGTCTATTCTCACGGCGCCGAGCTTAGCTTGCTAGCCGTCACAATCTTTGCTGGGCCAGCAATCATGCCATGCCACGTCACGACGCACTGGCTTTGGTTCGCCATCCGCTTAATGGAAGCCTCCGACGCACACTGCGGGTAAAAAAAATGATTTGGTTAAATTACTTAGGTTATTTCCCTCTCTAGTTCATTTTGTTTTATTTAGCAATGTTATTATTCTCCTCTATCCGGTGAGTGGTATGTGTTAAGTGTTTGTTTCGGACGAATTATTACTGGACCCCCTTGCTGTAAATGTAGTTACAACTTCCCGTTTAGCCTCGCGGGGTTGATCCCGTTTGTCGTGGGCGCGGAATTCCATGACTATCATCACTACGCTGGAGGAAAAACTCGGACCAATTTCGGTTCTGTGTTTACATATTGTGATTATATATATGGGACAAACAAGGTAAGTTTGTCATTTCTTGTGCAAATAGTGAACCACTGTTATATATACACATAGAATACATAACTATGTCTAGTTCGTCCTTTTATACGCCATTTTGTCTCTTTTTTCTTTTCAGAGCTACCTACTCCACAAGAGAAGCCTAGCAAAGGTATAGCTTCAAATAAACTTTTAACCACCTTCTTTATTTCAATTCCAACTAATTTTTGAAAATTTAACCCCATTTGGTTCTTCGATAAATTTACCCCTCCATTTCCAACTAATTTGAAATTATGCACAAAAGTAATATTAGTTATTACTGTTACTTACCACTTTAAAAAAATGAAAAATGTCGCCATGCCGGAATACACCTCACATGTCACCTACATGCCTTCTGTACTTGTGCGCAGCTGAAGACGAAGCAGGCCGAACAGAACATGAAGGGCAGCAGTGGGATAGAGGACTGAGATAGTTAATATTTCATGCAAGAATATATTGGGCAGTGAATATATCCACATACCATATACAGTTACCGGTGGTTCAATTATATTGCCTAGGGATCGGATATCAAACCAGTAATTCATATTTATTACCAGGGTTTCTCGATTTGTACCTTATATGTGTGTGTACCTACACATGTAATTTGTTTGTCCACTAAGAATATCAATGTATAATATTATAAGTTTTCTGGTGAAAATTATTTTTTATCCCTACCTTCTACGCCCTCGCGTGGCCCTTGGCGCGGCGGCGGCTTGGGGGGCAAATCACGATCGCTGGCTCTCTTCCACCCCCTTCTTCCCTCTCCTCGCTGATATTTAAGCCACCAGCCGGTCAACAAATTTGAGAGTGACAATAAAAATGACAATATGGTGTTTTCTTCTCCAGTTGGGTACGGGTAAGTCCGGTTGGCTGGAGATCTGGAGTTAGTTAGATGGGCCTCTTTGTTGAACCGAGACTCCCCTCAGTGGATCTAATCTCTACCCCCAACAAATCTTGCCTCTTTCCCACCACATCTCGCCTTCTCCTCTTTTGTTTTGGCCAAGGCAGCACGATAGCCATGGGCCGTGGGTATATGTCAAGGTACTAAATAGTGTTGGTAGTGTCCACTATAGCGGTAGCGGGCCCTCACCCTACCGGGTTGGAACTTAGTGCCCGCTATTTGATGAAGCAAGCCGCTATATCGGCCATTATTTGACATAGCAGTCCGCTATAGCGGCCCAAGTCTAGAACATAACTAATTCATTCTTAATTTAAAATATATTTGATCGAGAATCAACTCTTCCAATATAATTAAATATCTATTTTCATTATTTAAGTTATATATTTATTAGTCTATTGTTAATTTGTATTTAGTTGATTTGTAAATATGTAAGGAAGTCATTGTTTAAGATATATAAATATATCTAAGTTATACAAGATTATTATTAGATAATATTATTGGAACTTAGTGTCCGCTATAGCGGCCGCTATCCGCAATCCGCTATGTAGATGTCAATATATCTGCTACAGACCCTATTTGTTAGCTTGGCATATGTCCACGGGGCATAAGAGCATCTCCTACAGATAGGCTAAATGCATTTGTGTAGGCTATTATAGCTACTGTGGTCAAAAAAAAGTTGTCCAACAGACTTTCTATCCGGTCTTCTATTTTTCACAGCTTGCCATCCCGCAGTCGTCGCTGGCCATTTTTCGCATGCGAGGCTCGCTTGCTATCCGCGGCGCCAATGGAAACCCGTGCGCAGGCTTCGCCTCTCCCGCGCTCGATTTCTTCTCCGCGCGTCGGCGCCAATGGAATCCCGCGCGTAGGCTTCGCCTCTCCCGCGCTCGATTTCTTCTCCGCGCGTCGGCGCCAATGGAATCCCGCGCGTAGGCTTCGCCTCTCCCGCGCTCGATTTTCTTCTCCGCGCACCAGCCTCTCCCGCTCCCGCGTGCGCCCCCCTGTCGTGCTCCTGTTTTTCTCCCCATCTCCGCGCTGCTTCTTCTCGGCACCTACTTCTTCCTCTCTCCACGACGCGCATCCCTTCGAGGACCTCGGAGTCGTGCCGAGGCACCATGTCGCAGGCACAAGTAGAAGGGGATCTGATGTCTGCGAGCCACGGCCACGGGGACCCCAATTCTTCTGAGCTCCACTCGTTCCCCATCTTCTCGGCGGCCAGCGGTTGGGAGCAACAGCAGTTGCCGTCGTTGCCTTGGTTGCAAAGTGCAGGGGTACCTGGGCTGCGGCGTGGAGTTCTTCCTCCCAATGCTGCCCCCGCTGCATCAGCCCCCTTGTCTGGCATGTATTCCGGTGAGATCCAAATACCTAGATCCAATTTTTTTGTTTTTTAATAATCAAATATTGATGGTTGGTTTACTGGAGTCTGTTGCTGCCGATGTGAAATCATGTGCATTTAATTGCTCTCAAGTCAGCCACCTGTGATGTGTGATGTCTCTTGCTTGCCTTACAAAATTGGTCTTGTTTCAGCTATAATTGTTCTTGTGGTTATGTCCATTGAGAGGATAATCGTCAGATCTATGAGTTTCATCATACATGTTGACTTGTTAGTATGATCTTTAGCAAAAAATGATCTTTCAACCAGATCTGTCCTGAATTAAATGTGGCCTTACCATGGGCTGAACATAAACAAATATTGTGTAGAAAACAATCCATATGAATTGATTTTGTATGAGTTTTTCCCTGTTTATTGGTTGCATCTCACGTTCTCCACTAAGTTGAAAAAAGGAGTACACGCGACCATTCTGAATTAAATTACTCCTGGAGGTTCAGTAGTCATCATCTCGGTAGAGAGCAGCTGTAGCACATGAGTCATTGGCTTATGAAAACATTCTTTGGCAATTACTTGTGAATGAAAGCATTCTTGTGAACTCAGATTTGGTGAGCTCTGAATCATGAAAGCATTCTTGCTACTTTTAGATAGTAGAAGTTCGACTAGTTGCAGTAAAGTGAAGGTAGTGATTGTGCATATTTACAAATTTATTTGTTGAACTAGAGCTTGTGTATTTCAGTATGTTTAGTAATTTAATTCTGTGAACAGTATGTTACCCTCTTCTTTGTGATCATCCAATTGCTGAACTGTGCATATAATGAGTTGAGGTCAGAGTTTTCTGAAACTTATTCAAGTGTCTGTCTAATTTGCTATCAATAGTAGATTTTTATTCATCAGATTTTTTTTTCAGTTGAAACTCTCTAGCTCTGTACCACATCTGAAATGAACATGTAAGCTCAGATGCAATCTGTGAATAGCTATGTATTGCGAGTACTTGTGAATGAAAGCATTCTTGGCAATTACTTGTGAATGAAATCATATTTCAGTCTATGATCTTGATTTACCTGTTTCAGTCTATGATCTTGATTTACTAGTGAATGATACCACATCTGGAATGCTTCAGTTTTACCTGTTTGTTGAAATCATATTTGAGTCTATGATCTTGATTGTCCCTGTGGTATTTTTTCACAGGCACCATGGATTCGGAAAGATCTTTTACCGACATCATTACAAGGGGATGTAATCCTGCAGCTTTGTCTGATAATGTCCCAACTCCTAATGAAATGCCAGATTGTGATGAGGCCCTAGCAAGTGTGAAAGGGAGTCAGAAAAGGTCCAAGAATTTCAGTAAAGACGAGGACGAATTGTTGGTCTCAGCATGGCTAAATGTGAGTTTGGATCCAGTTCACGGAGTTGATCAATCACGTTCGACATATTGGAAAAGAATATATGATTATTTTCATATCAACAAGACATTTGATTCTGATCGAACGCAAAGCTCCCTAATGAGCCGGTGGTCTGGTATTCTACATGATGTGAACTTATATGCTGGTTGCGTTTCAAAGATAGAGGCTAGAAATCAAAGTGGTTTATCTATCGCTGATAAGGTAAGATAGCATACCTTGCCCTTCCAATTGTATATGATGTTTCTCTGATAATGGAGAAGCGGCAAAATAATTCTCGGTTGGCCATCCATGAACTGCTAGCAAAAGATTGTAATTCTGAAACTATCTGACCAATTGTATATGATGTTTCTCTATGTGATGCAGTCTCTATGTGTTTGATTTTGCAGGAAAAAAATGCATTAAAAATGTTCAAGTCTGAGGACAAGCAGCACCGCAATTTCCCTTACCTCCATTGCTGGGAAAAATTGAAAGACAAGGCCAAGTGGAAAAATAGAAGCAATCAGAGTGGAACGACTTCAAGGAAAAAGCAAAAGACCACGGCGAATTCAAGTCATGTAGCGGCTACACAATTAGTTGTCACTGCTAATGGTGAAGAGAGTCAGGCAGCAATGCCTATAGTGGACAGACCTACAGGGAAGAAGAAGGAGAAAGACAAATTACGACAACGTTCCAGCATCGAAGCATTGGATTATATGTTGGCAAAGAAGAAAGAGGCTGACATAGAGAAGGATTTGAAGAAAGAGGAGAGGTGCAAAAAAGCCTTTGCATTGCAGGAAGAAAGGATCAGAATCGAGGAAGAAAGGAACAGAATTGAGGAAGAAAGGATCAGACTTGAAAAAGACAAATTTGAGTTCGAAAGGAACCTTGAAGAAGAGAGAATTATGAATGTCGATACAAGTACCATGTCCACCAAACAGCAGCTACTGTATGAACAACTCCAGAATGACATACTTGCACGGCGTATAAAAAATTAGATAAAGTATCATATTGTTCTCGTTTTCTTAATTATTTGAATCTGTCGGATTGATACAGTATGATATTGTGGTGGTTGTATACAGCTGGATTATCACATTTTGTTACATACAGTATCACATTTTGTGAGGTGGCCTTCACACATATATTCGAAATCTATGCAATGTAAATAAGCCAACAACCATGCACATTATTTTTTTATTAAGCACGGTCACCATCGTGTAGGAAACAATAATTATAAGCATAACATCATTACAGTCCAACGACAAATGAAATCAATCATTAATAGTATTATTGTATAAATCTGGATAATTTTGCCACAAGTGCTCAATAAGATCGGCCTGAAGTTGTGTGTGCGTTTTCTTGTCCTTGATGTTCTTGTAATTTTGAATGAAAGCATCGAGCTCAGGGGTACTATCATGGGATACTGTCACCTTTTCTCCCATGTCGTCGTAATTGAAATCATCTTCGTCATCCCCCTCATCCTCAACAATCATGTTGTGCATAATGATACAAGCGTTCATGATTTCTCCGAGTGTGTCCTCATCCCACAAACGAGCTGGTCTTCGAACGATAGCAAAGCGAGCTTGTAGAACCCCAAACGCTCTTTCAACATCCTTTCTACATGCTTCTTGTGCCTTAGCAAAATATTTCTTCTTGTTACCTTGAGGTTCTGGTATGGTCTTCACGAAAGTGGCCCAAGATGGATATATGCCATCTGCGAGATAATAACCCATTGTATAATTGTTTCCATTGATGCTATAGTTAACCTGTGGACCCTCACCTTCAGCAAGCCTTGCAAAAACAGGAGATCTTTGGAGAACATTGATATCATTATGTGAGCCTGGCATCCCAAAAAAACCATGCCAAATCCAAAGATCTTTAGAAGCAACCGCTTCTAGTATAATTGTAGGATCCTTTTTGTGCCCCACGTACATACCCTGCCATGCAACAGGGCAATTTTTCCAGGTCCAGTGCATGCAATCTATGGAACCAAGCATACCTGGAAAACCTCTTCTCTCACCAATTGCAAGCAATCTAGCTGTATCATGTTCATTAGGCATTCTCATGTACTCATGACCAAATATATGAACAACAGCTCTGACAAACCTTCTCAAACTCTCTAGAGCAGTACTCTCACCAATACGAACATAGTCATCCGTAGCATCAGCCGCTACTCCATAAGCTATCATCCGAAATGCCGCCACAACCTTCTGCAAACAAGATAGTCCTAGGGTACCAGCTGCATTTCTCTTTTGCACAAAATAGTCGTCATGCTCCTCGACAGCATTCATTATACGGACAAACACATGACGCCTCATTCGAAATCTATGCAAGAAGACAATTTAATTAGGCGAAAATCGAATGCATATACAAGGTATAATTGAAAAGAAATATGGGGTACGTACAAACCTGCGCCTGAAATAATTTGGCCCGTATGTAGGATCATCTGAAAAATAGTCTTGATAAAGTCTCATGTGCCCTGACTGTCTATCACGATTTAATACACGATGTCCCTCAACGGAACCACGATAACGTGGTTCATTGCCAATATCCATTGCTACTATGTCTGCAGCGGCAATATACAATTCATCGTCATCATCCGAAGATGATGAATCCACCACTTCATTCAGCAGATTGAACTCGGCTTCAGAATCCATTACACACCTACGGCTCCAGGGCGAAGGGATGGATTCACCTGAGAAAATCTGAATGCATGAAGTGCTCACTCGCGATTCTGTTGCTTTCGGCTCCACCGTCGCAGACTTTGGCGGCGCGGCGAGCAGAGGACAGCCGTACCAATTGGTGCGCCCGCCAAGGGGTAGGCGTGCGTTGAGAAACGAACGGGAGGCTGTCGTGTGTTGTTGCGAGCAGCGAGCGGGAGGCGGCCGTGCGTTGAGAACAGAACGGGAGGCGGCCGTGCGTTGCGAGCAAGCCAGGCGGCGGTGCTGCGTTGTGCGCGGTGCTGCGTTGCGAACCAGGCCTGGTGGCCATGTACCGACCAACCGTCTTGGCCCATTTAAATATAGAAAAGGACCATTTAGCTAGGCTGCTGTAGCCATCATGTTTTTGAGAGGCTTTTCTATTTTACATGTTGGTTAAATCAAGAGATTTAGCATTTATTTTTAGCTAACCTGTAGGAGATGCTCTAACATGGTGGCTGCTACTACTACCGTATTACTAGAAACCGGCCAAGGCGTGCCTCTCTTTTAGTTAGTGCAGAGGCTGCTCTATCAAGAACCACCTCTAAAATTTTCAAAAAAAAAAAAGAACCACCTGTAAAGATGGTTTTTGAGTCGTCCCACCTCTAGAAATCGTTTTTAGAGCCATTTGTCTCTAAAAACACCCTTTATTTTTAGAGGCGTCGGGAAAGTCAGACCGTCTTTAAACATACCATTTCTAGCACTACTACAGTCAATTTAATCGAGGCGGGCAAAATCGATTAATCGAGGTGGGCAATCCGTCAGCCTCCGTCCAAAGGTCACGGTTAATCCTGCCTAAACGGACCACCTCGATTAGGCGGTCAACGTAAGGCAAACCGTCTTGGTTAATACTTATTAACCGAGGCGGTTGCTTGGCCAGCTGCCCCGCCACGAATAACTGAGGCGAGCAACCAGCCCAGCCGCCTCGGACCCTAAAATTCAAACGCTTTGGTTATGTTTTTGTGTAGTAGTGTAGAGATGGCTACCAATTTGCCCCGCGTCTAAAAATAGATACAACACACTAAAAATTCATATTTTTCAAATTAAATCAGATTAAGACAAACTTTATATCAAAATTGTAGTGTTTAAAGAGACATGCATGCAACTTTGTAGTTGACAAAGCTTTTATTTAGAATCATTTAACGCACAATTTTTTAAGTTTTCATTTTTTTTGGATTTTTCAAATTACCTTGAACGGAGAAACGACATAAACCAAATTCGTAGTACTTGAAGAGATCTGCAACATTGTACTGGAAGCAAGTTCATCACCATGATTACTTGTTTGGTTCTGGTACTGAGGCGGACAACACTAGGGCCCTCTACCTACCATGCGAATATAATGATTGGTGAGCAAGCATAGATAGGTGCTGGGCAAGAAGCGATTAGCACAGCTGCAAGCCTGCAACTCCCGAATCTATTGGGGTGCTACTCGATCCATGAGCGAGATTGAGAGGCAACCGTTGACCAGGTCTGGATGGCGATTCGTGCTGACGCCACTTGTGACTGCGCGAGAGTTCAACACCATGGCCATGACTCCCCTGCACCCTCAACGACCTTGTCTTCCTTCCCCATGGCGAGGTGCAAGTGGTGCACACACTTAGCCTAGCTACCAGCCATAGTCAAGGTGCTACGCCGCGGCGGGCGACCGACGGTTGGGCGGACACAAACGAATGGGGATTTGGAATCCATGAGCGCCAATGGGACATAGCAAGTCGTTGGCATGTGGCGGTGGAGCAAGGTTAGGAGGTTGTTTTGGGTGAGATCAGAGGGAGAGGGACGCATGGGGTCTTGCTAGGGTTGGCTTGGGCTTCATCCTCGGTCTCATCAACTCGTTCCGGCTTGCGAGTGTACCTCAAGAGATGGCTCGTTAAATAAACAAGCTCTACATGGGCGTTCTCCCGCCACGCCATGACAACTCCCACCCATCATGCCAAAGGGATTGGTGTGACAGGGCTGCTACCTGCCCTTCTAAATATCATGAAACTTGACGCGTGGTATATATAGTATAAATGTTCTGTTTTATGACATGCATAAGTTATGTTCTAAGTCAACTTTCAACACTTTAAAAATATAATTTGCCCTCCAATTTCTTTTACTACATTTGTTCCCAATAACTTGACATTCTAGTTACGTCCTAAGTCTCCAATAACTTGACATTCTAGTTTCGTCCTAAGTCAAATGTTATATTAAGTTTGACCAAGTTTATAAGAATATTGATATTTATATTATATCAAATAAGTATCGTTAGATTTACTATGACAAATTTTCATAGTATACCTATTTGGTGTCATATATGTACACAATCATCTCTATAAACTTTAAACTTAAGATAGTTTGATTTAGAGTAAAACTAGAATATCAAGTTTTTTGGAATCATTTCTTAATCCACAAGAAATGCGTGTGGAGTTCTCCTCTTGTCTCCTCCTTTAGAATTTCTTGTTTCGTTCTTTTTGTATTTTTTTTTCATTACTTTTCTATGGTATTTTTTGGAGCTGTGTTTGATCTGATTTCCTCAGTGTTTTTAGTACTATTTTGAACCTTAGAACTTGGTCACATCATGGCTTGGAAGCCCATCTCTCATCTCAAAAACCTTCCCTTCTAGCTTCCCTTGGTGAATTTACTGAAAATCTTTGTGCTGAGGTTTTGAGATGTTCTGAACTATCTTTAGATGCTATGAGACCTTGGGAACATACATAGGTTGTGCCTTTACCTATTTTCCACGAGCACCTAGATATCAAGCGCCTCTGTAGAATACATATAAACAAAATACAAATGAAAACGTCAATCAATTCTCATAAAAAAATGTGGATAGTTCTCCGGTATACTTCACAACACAATTTTAAGTAAATTCAACCTCCGTCTTTTTGGATGAGGGCCTTCTTTTTTTTCGAACCAAGAGATCCTATTTCTATTACTTAAACGGAAATACAAGAGTTTGGGAGATACAGATCAACATAGGAGGGGGAAACAGGAAAGCAGCCCTTGTCCAATATTGGTGAAATCAAGATGAGGTCCTTCTAGTTCTAGTCTTCTACAGATTAGTTGAGCGACGCATCCGTACCATTTGCACCCCTGCTGATCACCATTCACCAAGTGATTTCTTGGCCATCCCATGCAAAGAACTTGCCATTGTTGCTTTTCTTGACATTGTCAATGATGGAGAGAAGCTTCTGTACAGAGAACTCTCTCGTGAAGAGCTTACCCTTGGGGACATTTCTCTGAAATGGCCGTGAGAGGTCAGTGTCCACGGTTCCAGGATGCAGGCAATGTTGTCCTTCCTGCCAAACTCCACTGACACTGTCTTGGTCACTGCATGATTCAGCATTGAGCAACGAACTTCAGTAACCAAATTGTGACAGATAATTAAATTTTGACAGCGCACAAGCACCAGATTATTCAAGACAGAATAATGCACAGCACGTCGGATGAGCGTAGATTACCGTGATTACAAGATTAGTGCGCATAGAAGGATTGTTAACAAAACTGAGAACAGCAGGACAATAGAACACCTTGGTGTCCACTTACACTGATTCAGTGCTGTTTTAGAAGCTCTGTATGCGTGCCAGCCTCCCAGAGCATTGTCTCCTATCGAACTGACTCTAGCGCTCATATTTGCAACCAATGCAAATCCTCTCCCGGTCTCGGAGCGACCTCCAATCTTCAGTAATGGCCACATGTGCTGACCAAAAAAGGATCAATTCACTCTCCAGCTTTAGTGAAGTCACAGTGACCGGCAAGCAGAGTGTGGATACCATACCACCAAAACAAGAAACAGAAATTGAAGTGATGCAGTGAGTTTCACCTTGATCACTAAGATAGGGCCGACTGCATTCACCTCATATGCCAGCATAAGCGTTGACTTCTGAACCTTGCTTAGTGTAGTCTCTGTGGCAGGGGACATCAGGGAATTTTTTTTTATGCTTGCAGAATTGTGGCTGTTGTGCTAAAATGTGTTTGGAGGCAGATATATAGTCCACCTCACATTCGGGATCGAAAGGATGCCTGCAGAGTTGATCAGAAGGTCAAGAGAACCGTGGGTCTCCGTGATTGAGGCCGCAGCTGCCTGCAATCGAATAATCGAATTTGCATCTTAGACTGTCATCTAATCTACTAGCAGTATGCACAGTGCAAGTAAGAAGAATCAGTTCACAATGTGGGCAAATAGAAGAGTTCATTCACGACTCAGGGGAGCATTTTGTTGATGCCGCGCGGTGCGGCGGCGCCGGGGAATCGGTGATGGGGAAGACGAGAGCCCGCCGAACAAGCTGTCGGCTTCGGTAGAGTGATTAGATTATGTTTTATAGAGTAGTTGGTTGTTGTCTCTCTTCCTTCCCTTCCACTCTACTTCTACTCCTCACTGCTGGGCTTGGGTTAGCAATTGTTACAGACCCATTCTGGGCCGGACACTCTCTTGTTCTTGGGCCTGCTGCGAGTACTCCTCTTGGGCTCAGTGATGACTGGGTGCGACGTCGTGACACCCCCCTCCCCTTGCGACCCGGCATGTCCCCAGGCCGGAGCAAACGGAAAGCGCTGCTGAATTGCCTCTGCATCTTCCCAGGTGGCGAGTTCCGCATCCAGGCTGGACCATTTGATCAGGAATTGAACAACCACACCTGTGCGACGGGGATGGAGACGGCACTGCAGCACTGCCTCAGGGACTTGCAAGCCTTCTGCCGACTCTGGTGGATCCACCGAGATAGTATACTTTGTCAACGGGGCAACCTTGAGTAGAGAGACGTGGAATACCGGATGAACAGATGACGACTCCGGCAGGTCCAGCTTGTAGGCGACATCTCCGATCTTCTCCAGCACCTTGTATGGCCCGAAGTAACAGAAGGAGAGCTTCTGGTGGACACATGGAGCAAGCGACGCCTGGACGTAGGGTTGGAGCTTGAGGAACACCATGTCACTGATGTTGAAGGATCTCTCTGAGAGGTGCTTGTCAGCATACATCTTCATGCGATGTTGGGCTCGGAGGAGATGTTGGCGCACCAGATCAAGCATAGTGGAACGCTCAGTAAGCATAGTTTCAACATCAGGTACAGATGATGCTTCAGGTGGTGAAAGGCCAAAGTGGCGAGGAGTGTGTCCGTACAGTACCTCGAATGGCGACTTGTTGAGTGAAGAGTGGAGACTGGTGTTATACCAATACTCCGCTAAGCTGAGCCATCGCAACCACTACTTGGGGCAGGAGTGGACGAAGCACTGTAGAAATGCTTCGAGGCACTGGTTCACCCGCTCCGTCTGGCCATCGGATTGAGGGTGGTAGGCGGAGCTCATGCATAGCTTGGTACCCGCCAAACGGAACAGCTCCTTCCAGAAGTGGCTGGTGAAGATGCGGTCGCGGTCGGAGATGATGTGGGTTGGCATGCCATGTAAGCTGTAGATATTGTCGAGGAAGACCTGAGCCACTTGTTGAACGGTGAATGGGTGAAGTAGAGGCACGAAGTGGGCAAATTTGCTGAATTTGTCGACGACGACCATGACGCAATTAGCTGCACCAGAATGGGGGAGCCCCTCGATGAAATCCATCGAGATGACTTGCCACGACTCCGCGGGTACAGGCAACGGCGAAAGGAGTCCCGGGTACTTGGCATGATCGGGCTTGGCCTGCAAACAGAAGGTACAAGAAGTAATAATTTGTTTGATGTCAGATTTCATACCCTTCCAAGCGAATAGCTTCTTGATTCGGGCGTAGGGAACAGGGAACCCGGAGTGGCCCCCGATAGCGCTGGAATGTAATGCTTCAAAAATTCTCAGCTGGAGGGTCTTGTTGTCGCCCACCCAAATGCGATCTCCAACATGAATAACACCATTGACCAGAGTATAAGGCGGGTGGTTATCAGTGTTAAGTGCCAGTTCTTGCAATAACTTGCGAGAGGTTGGATCAGAATCATATCCAGCAACAACATCTGATAACCATGTCGGTGATGAAGAAGAGATGGCATTGAGCTGTTCTGGAGGCAAAGGGTGCCGTGAGAGAGCATCAACTGCCAAATTGGAAGCCCCCGGTTTATAGACAACCTTAAACTGCAACCCAACGAGCTTGGTGTAAAGCTTCATTTGCCACGGAGTCTGCAGGTGCTGCTCAGTAATATGCATCAGACTCCTTTGGTCAGTGAAGATAGTAAACTCATCGTGCTGTAAGTAGGATCTCCAATGCTCCACCGCCACGAGAATAGCCAAGTATTCTTTCTCGTAGGTAGATAAGCCGCTCGAACGAGGGCCAAGCGACTTACTAACAAAGGCCAATGGGTGACCATCTTGAAGGAGGACTGCTCTGATGCCGACATCACTTGCGTCAGTCTATAACTAGAAGGGCTTGGAGAAATCGAGCGGGGCCAAAACTGGGGCTTCAGTGTTTCAAAGGCTATAGTATGGTTGGCAGTCCAAATAAAGAGCTCGCCCTTCTTGAGCAGATCAGTCAAGGGCCTGGCAATCACAGCGTAGTGCTTAACGAACTTCCGGTAATAACCTGTGAGTCCGAGGAAGCTGCGGAGCTGCTTGACATCACTTGGTTGCGGCCAGGCTTGCACAGCGGCAACCTTTGATGGATCCGTGGAGACTCCTTGCACACTGACGACATGACCCAAGTAGTTGATAGATTGCTGAGCGAAGCGGCATTTGGAGAACTTAACCAGCCACTGGTCTTTGGAAAGCAAATCAAAAACTTGTGCTAGGTGCTTAACATGGTCTTCATAAGAGGCGTTGTACACAAGGATGTCGTCGAAAAACACCAAGGCACACTTGCGAAGGAGTGGATGTAATGTATTGTTCATAACACCTTGAAATGAATTTGGGGCGCCTGTTAACCCGAAGGACATGACAGTATACTCGAACTAGCCCCAGTGTATTTGGAAGGCAGTCTTGTGTTCTTCCCCAGGAGCAAGGCGTATCTGGTTGAAACCTGCCCATAGATCCAAACAAGAGAACCAACTGCCCCAGAGAGTTCATCCAAAAGTTCATCGATGATCTGAATGGGAAACTTGCTCTTCACAGTGAGTGCGATGAGTTGGCGTGTCGACTTAAAAGCCCATTGTTGTCTTTCTTCTAACCAAGAGAGGCTCGAGAAGAGAAGGCGGCTGGTACTAGGGCGATAATGAAACTGCATCGGCGTCTCTATCACGAGCCTCAATCTCGATCTTCAAAGCCAGGCAAATCTGAGATAAGGGCCAGGCAGTAAATAGGTCGAGCACCTAGAATTTGGGGAATGGAGTGATCACAGGCCTGACGTAGAGGCAGCTCGATCAGCAACCTAAATAAGTGTTGATACTGAGACAACAACGCCTGAATCTCTGGCAGATCACTGTGCACTGATGTAGTCAATTCATCCCTTCAATGGACGGATGATGGAGTGAACTACTGAGAACAATCAAGTTGCTCCGAGAGGGCGCCTTGTAACACCACATTGTTGGGCCCATAAGGAATTTGAACCCAACGTTGAAGCCAGTGAACTTTCATGGGTGAGAATGCCTGTAACCAATCCATCCCTAGAATCATGTCATATGTGCCAATGGGAATGAGCTTGAGGGTAGAATGGAAAACATATCCTTGAATAGACCACTCTGCATACGGTATTTGAGCAGTACAAGGCACTGAGCCTCCATCGGCAACCTTGACAGAAGTTGGAACTGACAATTGTTGGAACCCATTCAGAGAAACTACCCATTTGGTATCCAAAATGAGTTGGTGCTCCAGAATCTAACAAGATGTTGATATCTACTGTCCTTGAAGCATGCCTTGAAACCGCAGAGTTCTTGGGTGAAATGGTAGAAGAAAGCAAAGAAGATGGGATGGAGCATGAAGGATTGATCTGCAGTAACAGGAGTATCTGGCTCAAAACTTTCTGTCTCGGTGAACAGCTCTTCACAAAGATCCCACACCTCGTGTAATGCATGTAATTGGAGGGCCGGAGAGCATTTGTGGACCTGGTGCCATTTCTCCCCCCAACACATATAGAGGCCACGGGCTTTCCTGTAAGAGCGAAGGGACTACAACTTGTCGTCAACTGACACACGGCAAAAGTCAGGACGACGGTCTTCAGGAGGGCGCTTCGGTTCCGGTGGCATGGGAGGAGCTGGAAGTGCTAGCCGCTAGGGAGGAGCAGGAAGCGGCAATGGCCCCCGAGACACAGCCGGCTTTAGGAATGCGGGAGCATCAATACGCCGAAACTCCCTTCGGCGTGTCGGCTCGACGGCCTCCTCCTGCAAAAGGGCAAGCGAACAAGTAGCATCGAGATCGGCGGGACGCTGAACAAGAACAACAGAGCGGATATCGTCGCGGAGCCCATCGATGAAGCATGTGGTGTGGTAGAGGGTATCTGGGTTAGGTGTATATGTCGATAGCTGCTCAATAAGGTCAACAAATTGATCGACATATTCTTGAATCGAAGCGGTTTGCTTGATGTGGAATAGTTGGCGGATGAGAAACTCGTGTTGATCATGGCAGAATCGCTCGCACAACATTGCACAGAAGTCCTGCCAACCAATGTGTTCAAGGCGGTGTGCAATGGATTGAATCCAACGCTTGGCTGCACCGGTGAATTGCATTGTAGCGACTCGAACCCACATGGATTGATCAACAAAGTACATATCAAAGTAGGAATGGGCCTGAGTGATCCACAGTTGGGGGGTGGTACCATCGAATTGGGGGAAATGCATTTTGGGTAATTGGCCAAGGTGGGAGGATTAGGGTTGGATTTGGGTAGGATCTGGTGGTGGGGGTGGAAGTTGGGCATCCGCGACTTTGAAGGTGGGGTTGGGAGGGGGAGGAGGACGGGGATTTGGAGCGGGATGGGGAGGAGGATTGGGGAATCGGCACGTACCATTGGCCGGGGTCGGAGCTATGGTTGTGACCAACCCATAGCCCCTCTCCAGTGTAGTCGATTCGACGCGCTGCCCGCTGGGCCAGTCGGTCGGTGTCCCGGCAAATGAGCGCGCGGCGACCAACTCCGGCTGCCTCAGAGTACCCGATGTGGGCAGCTCCACCGCAGCGCGACCTCCACTCGACCGGAGATTCTTCACCTCCAAGCGAAGATCGTCGATCAGGCCATCCACCTCTGGGCGCCAATTGACGAGCTCCTCCACGGCGGTCTCGACGATGGCCACCCTGTCGTCGCGCTCGTCATTGATCTCGTGGATGTGAATTAGCTCGAGATCCACCATCCGCTGCTCGAGGTCGGAGACTCGCTCGTCGAAGTGGACCCCCCAGTTGTTGGCAATGACGGTGGTGGTGTACTGTGCAGAGGCGTACTCTTCCAACGACTTGATGCATCGGTCCACAGCCGCGTCCCGCTCTTGGAGCTCGGAAGTCACCTCCTCGAAGCGGCGCTCCCACCGCTCCCATCGGGCGCTGGAATCGGTGCGGAGGTCGTCGATCCGCTTGAGGACTTCGTCGAAGAGAAAGCGCACGTTGGGATCCATGACTCCCTTGGCGCGCTGAACACGGGTGAAGTGGGGGTGTGGCTCCGGCGGATCCAGCCCTCGGAGGCGCCGGATCGACGGCTTTGATACCAGTGTCGATGCCGCGCGGTGCGGCGGCGCCGGGGAATCGGTGATGGGGAAGACGAGAGCCCGCCGAACAGGCTGTCGGCTTCGCTAGAGTGATTAGGTTATGTTTTACAAAGTAGTTGGTTGTTGTCTCTCTCCATTCCCTTCCACTCTATTTCTACTCCTCATTACTGGGCTTGGGTTCGCAAATGTTACGTACCCATTCTGGGCCGGACACTCTCTTGTTCTTGGGCCTGCTGCAAGTACTCCTCTTGGGCTCAGTGATGACTGGGTGCGGCGTCGTGACACATTTTCTCTGACTACTCTCTGAATCAAACTAATTTCCCTGACTGCAGCATTTCTTCCCGATTGCTGTTCTGAATCAAATAGAGTCCAGCCAGGAGCACTTCTTCCGATTGTTGTATGAACAAAACAGTTTCCCGGTTTGCAGCATTGCCGACCTATCAATATATCATCAGCTAGGTGGAGGATATGCGGTCCGCTTACCTCTAGGGTGCTCTTGTCGGTGACGTCGAGCAGCAGCACGGTGAGGCGCCCGGGCGCGTGCTCCTCCTTGAGCTTCTCGAGCTCGGCCGCGGAACCCGGCGCGAGGCACGTGGCGACGACGCGGCCTTCGCCGCTTCTCCGCAGCAGCTGCCGCACCTGCACCGCATGGATTCCCAGCGCGCGGAGGCGGAGCAGGCATCAAAACGCAATCCAACAATATGGAGGCAACGGAGGGGGCCGATGCGGAACGGACAGGGTGAAATGAGAGATAGATGAGGTGGACTCACGAACTCGAGACCGATGCCCCGGGACGCCCCCTGCACCATGGACACGCCGCCGGCGCCCGCGCCGGAAGCCGAGGCGGAGAACGCCCTCGCGGCCACCGCCAGCCTCGCCATCGCTCCCCTTCTCATCGGCGGATCGGATTCGGATTTCGGCCTCAGCCCCTCCTCCTCCTCCTCCCTTTCACAGATTCACATCGGTCTTCGATGCAAATTATTCAATGCAACAAGATTGGATTGAAAAGGTGGTTGCAGTTGGTTGGATGGATTGGGAAGTAATGGTGGCGCCCGTGCTCTTGCTCGTGCTCGTGCTCGCCTCGGGGATTCTCATGGCTGGATGGCGCTACACGTATTCCTTTCTCTCACACACAGTGAAAAGCCGAAAGCGAGCGTCGTGAGGCAGCAGGCCCAGAGCAACCGAGCATAGAGTGGGCCTGTGTGCGCATACTGGGCCCACCAGCTACTTTGAGACCTTGTGAGGCCCAGAAGCATTTTCGCGCCATTGCTCTGGCCTCTGGAAAAGACGTCTCTCGGTCTCTGCTGCTGTTTTTTCCCCCTCAAAAGAAACATCCGCGGCCTAGATGTTAAAACGTACCAGGTGGATATCGGATCTTTGAAATATTTTAACATTCGGATCCATACCTATTACCACCATTCCTCACAATAACTGATGACCAAATAAGATGCTACTATTTTATATTCAACTATAGGAATACTTTATTTTAACGTTTACTACTACAGATCTAACATTCATTGTCGGTCTTTTAGAAACCGGCAGTATCCGATAGTAATAGGACCAACCAACATTGATATTAGATTATCATTGTCGGTTTGTAACTAAAATCGACACTGATGCTATCAATGTCGGTTCTAGCTAAGAACCAACACTGATATTGGGTCATCACTGTCGGTTTTTTTACCAGAAAACTTTCATAACTTTCTCATATGATGTTCGACGAAGACGAACTTTATATAAAATTGAAGTACTCAACGAGATCTACAACTTTGTAGTTTAAACTTTTTTATTTAAGATCGTTTGGATGTCTAAATATACACCATAAGAGTTTATAAAGTTAATACAATTGAGTCCATATGCTCTATAGTCATAAGTGAGTGCGCAGTGGTAGTTAAGGATCTTGGATGGAGAAGTGACCAAAACAAAAGTTATAGATATTGAAAAGTTATGTAACTTTGTAGTTTACACGTTTCTTATTTGAAGTCGTTATGATGTTACTCTATTTGATTCGCAAGATTTTATAGAAGTTAATACCAACTAAAGGCACATGTTCCATAGTCATAAGTGAGTGTATAGTGGTATTTGAGAATCTCGGATGAAGAAGCAATCAAAACAAAAGTTATAGATCTTGAAAAGTTATGCAAGTTTGTAGTTGACAACTTTTTCAATTGAAACCATTTATCTAACGAAAATTACGTTTGATTTCTTAAATTTAAAATTTGAATTTTTCAAACGACCTCGAATGGAGAAACAGCCAAAACAAAAATTGTAGATCTCGCAAAGTTGTGCAACTTTGCAGTTGACAACATTTTAATTTGAAATCATTTATCTAACAAAAATTACGGTTGAATTTTCTCACATTTGAAATTCAAATTCTTCAAATGACCTCGGATGGAGAAATGATCAAAACCAAAGTTGTAGATCTTGAAGAGTTATAAAATTTTGTAGTTGATAACTTTTTCATTTAAGATCGTTTAGGGTCCCAAATACTTATTTTAAAATCAGATGAACATAAAATGGTTAGGACGAATATCTCATTTGGACACAAGTATCTCATAGGTGAAGTGGTTAGGAGTTGAAGATGCGAAGCACGAGGTTAGGGGTTCGAGCGTTGGTGGGCGCGAAGTGAGTGTTTTTTGCACGAAAAATCCCATCACTTGTGACTTGCAACGCACGACCGAGTTGCTGTCTAGTAGTATCTCTCTTGGTATAAAAAAATTTCCCCTATTTTTCAGCTCATTTTTATAATTTCGTTGAAATCACATCAGTGTCGGTTTTTAGAAACCTGTAGTGATGTCAACCCCGTCACTGTCGCCATGCCACTGTTGGTTCAAAATCCATCTGTAAAGAGAGGTTTTTGAACCGACATTGATGTGAAGAACTGGGGTAGTGATTTAAGGGTCTACATAATCTCAAATGAAAAGAATCTAAGATAAACGATATTTAAATCCTGTCAAACACTGTGAATTTAAGATCATATGAAAAAATAAAAATTTTGAGTTCAAAAATCATAGAAGTTAAAAAGTACATTTGGGCCTCTAAAAAATTTTAGTTAAAAAATTATCAATTATAAAAAGTTTTATATCCCGTCAATCTCTATAATTTGATATAAAATTTATCTTAAATCTGAATTGATCTAAAAAGTTATGATTCTTTTTTGCATTACAACTATTTATTGGAGATGGACATCTTACCAACCGTTCTACCAACCCTCTTTGAAAATCGATTGCTATGAGCGGTAGGCATGGGATCCACTAGCTATTTCACTAGACGGACACCAAAGGCACAGATTAAGGCATTTTTCACGTTCCATGGATGATCTGTTGCTGCTGCGGTACATGATGATCTTGTGATGTTCGTCAAGGTTAAGGCCCGCTTGAAGGGCTCTGTCCGGCTTGGTTTCTACTGTAGCTGTATTGTAGAAGATACTGTAGTGGAGCTGGACGATCACGCAGCTTTAGGGGTTTCTCTTGTTAATTTTATTGTATATCCCGTCAAGCTCTATAATTTGATATAAAGTTTTGTCTTAATCTAACTTGATCCAAAAAAGATTATAATTCTTTTTTATTATAACTATTACGAAGATGGACACCTTACCGTCTTACCAACCCTCTTTGAAAATCGATTGCTATGGACGGTAGGCATGGGATCCACTAGCTATCTTCTAGACGGATACCAAAAGCACAGTGCACAGATTAAGGCATTTTTCATATTCCATGGATGATATTTTGCTGCTACGGTACATGATCTTGTGATGTTGTCGAGGTTAAGGCCCGTTTGGAGGGGCTCCATCTGGCTCCGGCAACATAGTAGCAGTATTGTAGAAGTGCTCTAGTGGAGCCAAACAGAACCACAATCACGTAGCTCTAGCGGCTTCTCTCGTTTTACACTTATTTCCAGCCAGAGCTGTTTCTCCAAACGCTAAGGAGTCTATAGTGTGCTACATTAACTTAAGAGCCGGAGCCATCAAAAGTTCCTCCAAACGGGCCCTTATTCTAGAGGCAGCTTGGCGGGTTCTTGTCAGGCATCAGGCTGAGCATTAAAAAAAAGTTATCAGGCTAAGCTCACTAATAGAGGCAGCAGCTCTAGGGAGGCGGAACCAGAAAGGCACCAATGGATGATCCGGCAACAAAACAAGAAGGATCGAATAGTGTTGAAAGGCCCAAGCGAAAGATGAGGCCCAGCTCCAAGTTCTTCGGGCCCGACTAGGTGAGCCGTTACTAGCGTACGCATGACTATAGAGAGGGGATAGGAGAGTACCTTGAGGATCACACAAGGAGTAGAACAGGCTGGCCGACTGTGTCTAGAGGAGACGGCGGGGAGCTCGTTGCTCGCCAGATTTGTAATCTATTCTAAATCCTTGAAAGTTTTCATGTTAAACTCTACACTCCACTGAATATACGCTATAGTAGACTACCGATTCCTAGAGTATCCTTACAGGTGTGTGCTTCACCTAGAGTAGGTGAGGCCCTTACTGGGGAGACGAGACCGCCCACACGCGCAAAGAGCATTCGTATTCCAAATTCGACATCAAAGCATTCGTATTCTGATCCCGCACAATTTTTTATACTATTAATAGCTAAATGTATATCTCATCATATCTAGGCGACCTCCGTTACCGTTTGGGTTTCCTCAGTGCTAGGCCCCACCACCGTCTGCTACGGTGCATGCCCACCTGCATAGTGCTCGCCCACCAGGCAGGCGAGACCGAGCCAGGATAGGGTACGTGACTTGATAGCTGGGTTTGGCAATCATGTGCGTGTCCATGTTGGACACGGTTCTGTTGTGCAGCCAGTAGGAAAGAGGACCAAGGGCTGGTTCGGACTTGGCTTTGGGAAATAAAAGAGGACGGGCGCGGAGCCGAGACCCAGCCACGAATACGGATCTGGATCGGCCACTAAAACCAAAACCGCTTTGGCTAAAAAAAAAGAGTCGCCTCACGCCAAAAAGGTCAAAAAGAAAACAACAACGTCCATCACACTGCACAGCTCGGTATCTTACCTCCCCGAGTGCTACGGCAAGATCAAACATTAAGATCTTGGTCGTGCCGACTACTGAGAAGGACCTTAACAAGGGGAAGAGAAAGAAAAAACTGGCAAATGGTATATTTACGAAGAATATTGTTTATAAAGAGATTCTAACTTTATAAGCGAGGTAATTTCTATCGGCAATACATATTTTACTCCACATGGTCAATAATAATCTAGCTTTATTATATATTAACAACAAAATATATACAAGAAATGGAAGGGAATGACTACTTCACTCATGCTAACTCAATAACTTTAGGATGTTGTTAAGAAGATGTAGAACTTAGGTGTGTCTGAGCATACAATTAGAAAATAAGGGATTTCGGTGTCTTGACCTCGCTCCACTCTGTGTTTTCCTGGGTTATTCTTCTAATCATAAGGGATTTCGGTGTCTTGACCTCTCTTTCAACCGCATCATCATCTCTCGTCATGTTACCTTTGATGAGACAAATTTTCCCTTTGCCAAGACAACACGTCACCCCCCCACCACTAATGATTTTGATTTTTGGATGAGTTTGAGCCCTCGGTGTGCCTTCCAGGCCTCCTGCTGGCTCCTCCCCTTCAGTACCTTGGTGGAGTCAACCTGGTTCACTCGGTGTCTCGCCACTGCCACGGTGACTCCTATCACACAGTCTTGGGTGAGCCCGTGGACCTAGCAGGTCCTTACCAGCCCCTTCCTGCGCCTGCCGCGCAGCCTCGGCTCCTCGGCGGAACATCACAACGCCCCATCACTGCTGCTCCTGCTCCACCGGCTCCCCTGTTGTGCCCCCCGCTTGCGCACCATCACTCATGTCTACACCCGGCGCCACCCAACTCGTGTTCCTCCGATTCTTTGCTGATTACAGGCTGTCACAAGGTACTCAAGCTACCACAGATTACAGGCTGTCACAAGGTACTCCGGTCTTTGCTAATTGTAGTGACACACGGTCCTTCGTTTCTTCTTTGCTCTGTTACATTGCCCCGTGGTGTCTGTTCCAGTTCATCAAGTGGTGAATCATCACTCCATGACCACTAGAGGGAAACTTGGCTTCCTTCAGCCTGCCATCTATCATGCCGCAGCCATCTCTCCCATTCAAGACTTATCGGAGTGCTCTTGCTGATCCTAATTGGCGAATCGCAATGGAAGAAGAGTATGCGTCTCTTACGTCCCAAGAACACATGGGATCTCGTTCCTCGACCGTCTGCGGTGCAAATGTGGTAACCGGCAAGTGGATTTTTCGTCGAAGTTCAATGTTGATGGCTCCTTTGATCGCTACAAGGCTCGGTGGGTTCTCCGTGGTTTTACCCAACGCGTCCGAGTGGATTATGATGAGACCTTTAGTCCTGTGATGAAACCAACAACGGTCCGCGACAGTCCTCTCTTTGGCTCTCTCACAGCGAAAGGGCCTATTCATCAAGCTGGATGTCAAGAATGCCTTCCTCCATGGCACCCTCTCCGAGACCTGTCTATTGTCGCCAACCCCTTTGGATTTATTGACATTGCTCTTCCCGATCATGTTTCTTTGCCTCAACAAGTCTCTCAGATGGTGCAGGCAGGCACCTCGCGCTTTAGTACAGCCGGTTTGCCACCTACCTCTTGTCTCTCGGGTTTGTTGAAGCAAAGTCGACACCTCTCTGTTCATTTACCACCGAAGCAATGAGATTGTTTACCTACTACTCTATGTGGATGACATTGTTCGACCGCCTCCAAAGGTGCCTCTCTCCTCCGCCGCACTATCACCTTTGCCTTGCAACAAGAATTCTCCATGAACGACCTTGGTCCTTTGCATCACTTTTTGGGCATTTCGGTCATGCAACATTCAGGTGGTCTCTTCCTGTCACAACAGCAATACACCATTGACATCCTCAAAGGTTTGGTATGATGGATTGCAAACCGTAGTACACACTGTGGACACTCATGCTAAAGTTTACGCTCATGAAGGTGCTCCTGCCATCGATCCTACCCACTATCGCAGATCTTACAGAGCCATGCAAGACCTTACTTTCACAAGACCGGACATTGCTTATGCTTTGTTCAACAAGTATGCCTTCACATGCATGATCCTCATGAACCTCACTTGTTCTGCTGTTAAGAGGATTCTCCGCTATCTTCAAGGAACTCTTAGCCATGGCTCGCACCTTTAGCCCTCCACTCCTTACGAACTTGTGGTCTATATCGATGCCGATTAAATTTGGGTGTCCCAACACTCGCCGCTCCACTTGAGCTATGCTTTGTGTTTCTTGGTCTTCAAAACGCCAAAACACGTCTCTCGTTCAAGTGCGAAAGTTGAATACCGGGCTATGGCCAATGGAGTTGTTGAAACTTTCTTGGCTCCGCCAACTTCTATAGGAATTGCATGCTCCATCGCCTCGATGCACTTTGGTCTCATGCGACAATGTCGAGCAAATATACTTGTCCATCAATCCCGTACAACATCAACGCACGAAGCATGTTGAGATTGATCTCCACCGTTAAGTGAACGGGTCGCCATTGGTGATGTTCGGGTTCTTCACGTACCAACGACGCCCCGCTTTCTCGACATCTTCACCAAGGGTCTTCCCACCTCCGTGTTCCAAGATTTTCGCTCCGGTCTTCATATTAGCGAGCCCGCCGATTCGACTACGAGGGTTAGCATGTTTATCGCTTCCTTTATTACTAGTCGACGCCTAGAAACCTCCCCCGGCTGTCACTTACTTACCCCTCTCTTCGCTAGTATTTACTTCTCCTTTTGTCTTTGCTAGACGGGTGATGCCAGGAATCTTCCTCGGCTGTCGCTGTGTGCTTCCCCTCTCTCTCTTGTGTTAGTCTAGCTCCTATATAAATCACTGTAATTTGGTTTACTCAATATGAATGAATACAAGAGCTAGTTCATCCTCTATCACTTTCAATCCAATGGTTCTTTGGTACAAATACCTAATACAAATACACAGTGAGAGTGACATATTGAGTTATAATCATCTTGTTTGGTGTGGAACCACTTTCATATATTTTTATTATTGTTTAGCTTTTTTCCTAAACAATATTGCTACTAGGTTGTTTTCTTGATTATATGAGGGGAAATAGGGAAGTAATAACTATTGGATTACATAATATCTTCTAGTCTCTTGTGTGTTTGCAGTTAGGTCTGGTTTGAGTTTTTTCTGAAACTTTGTCTTCAGGATATTTCTCAGCCAGACACTACTGGTTTCTCTAGTTGGTGGTGTTGCTCTCTGAAGTAGGTCGACAAGCAGCATGTAAAGGGCCTGCTTGCCATTCTTGCTTTGCTTGGGAAATTTGGAAACACATGGATGTGTTCTTTTTTGTGTGTGTGTGTGTGTGTGTTGGTGTGTGTGGGGGGCAGGGAGGGGCTCCTAGTGCTAGTGGTGCTGTTAGGGCAATAACAGAGGGCTCCGCTCTGTTGTGTGCATCCAGAGCTTTTGAGCTCTTAAGTTTCTCCTTTGGTGGTGTGTTTTTTAGCGCTCGTTGCGTCCTTACGTTTTGATGTTTTGAACTGGTTCTGTACCATATTTTCTTCTTTAGTGGTATGCAGCTCTCCAGTGTATTTTTGAGAATTAATTTAGTAAACTATAATCTGATTTATCAATTCAGTATGCTGGATCTTACAATGACTTCTTTCCACAGCCATTTTAGCAAACATGAATTGCAGCACAACAATCAGAATTTGGTTAGCAATGAAACAAGTTGGGTCTCATGGACGTGGGCCTAATGCCAGCCACTGCCAGGAGGCATAGGATGTGCATTGTTTTTCTTACTGTTGCATAATTAGAAAATTACTTGTTTATCTCATATAATCTGTTAGTTTGTTATTACTCATGATTAGTTGCGTATCTTTATTATTATAAAAAAGTTGCATATGTTTAGTATTCTTTGTTTATGGATATGTTCCTTTTACTCAAGTCTTCCACCATCAAAAAGGATAGGACTGTCATAATGTATCCTTTATGTTCAAACAATGAAATGACTAACCATCTGCATTCGCTTGTCTAAAGTTTTCTTCATCTATGCCCATCCTCTTCTGTTCTAGTGTCTTGTCCCCTCAATATGCACCCTTCTGCTCCCATTATCCATGATTTTAACCATTCAGCAGCTCAATTTATCATATTTACATGAACACATCAAATTACAGCTTGGTTGGAGCTAGCTTTTTTTCGCATTGCATGCTATAGGCATTCTCTTTGTCTTTATAAAAGCAAAAGTTGAAGTTAACTCTGCAATTGAACTGAACCACACCATGATTATCTTAGCCACATTAGCTCATTTGTAACATTCCTAGGAGTTTATTTGATACCGGTTTGTGTTGTTTGCTACTGATATGTAGATGAGTATTATCTGAGCAACATCTAATGGATTCTATTTGCTTTTCAGTTAGAACAGGCTTGGAAGGACCTGGGCTTTCTGTTTCTCAAAAGATATTTTATTGTATTAGCTTTGTTGGTGGCCAATATATATGGTCACGATTACAGTCTTTTTCTGCTTTCCGTCGATGGGGCGATTCTGAACAGGTAACCTGAATCCTACCTGAAAACTTACAATTGCAATTCACTGGTAGTAGTGTAACTTAATATTAATATTTCTATTTCATGATGTAGAGACCACTAGCACGCCGTGCTTGGGCATTAATGCAGAATGCTGAAGTATTGTACAGGGCTGCTTCATTCTTTAACCTATTATTGTTTCTTTATGGTGGAAGGTACCTTCCTATTCCTGTTTAATTATGGTCCTTTCTTGTATCATGAGGATGGTAGAAATTATTCATGATTATCATGGCTGTAGCAGGTGGCGCCTAGTTTGGCAAAGTTAACTATCTATCTAGAGATTGAATATTGCCAACATGTGCAGCATGTACTGTCCACTGATAGGAAATTGACCAATGACAGTGTATTTGAATGAGCAAGACAGCATAATTTGTGGGAAAATTGAAACCTACTCTTTTTTAATAGATTATCATCCTGTTCACTTTTTAATTATTATGAAGTTTATATGACACACACGCTTTTCATCCTTGCTTATTTGTTTATAAAGGTACAAAACTATTGTAGAAAGGATTCTGAAGGCAAGACTTGTTTATGGGGGCCCCAACATGAATAGAGCTGTTAGCTTTGAGTACATGAATGAATGGCCAGCTGGTCTGGAATGAGTTTTCGGTAAATCTCTTTCTTACAGTCCTGTTGTTAATCTAAAAAGTTTCTATCTTATGCAATTATTGATTTTACAGTTTGATCTGTGCTTTTGACTGCATATATACTGATATAATGAAACCTTTCTAGCCAATGTGGATCGCATATATTCTTGATAGATCATACACCTATCTGGTCTCTGAATAATTGGTTCTCTGATATCCTCCAATATCTGATATCGTAGATTGCATGTGTTTGTGTATGACACTAAATCTAGTTTGTATTCACTCCAGCCAGATTCTAGGATGCAAACATGGGAGGTAGTGGATACCTTAATTGCATCTGTTTCTATTCCAGATGGAAAAGATCTCTATGATAAATCCTTGGAATGATATTTTTACCAAGTCAAAAATGTCGCATTGTTATCATGATTCAAATGCAGCTTGCATGACTCTGGTGTCATAATATATCCTATATGATAAATTCCTTGTAGTCTGATTCTGTTGATTTGATCTATGTTCAGTGAAATGCACTCAGGACTATCGAGTTTGATACTTGATAATAACGGATTGGTAATGTGATTCTTAATAGAGTGCACTGGGGGCTGCTGTGCAGGTTTCTTTAGGTGTTTCTGAGATTGTCCACAAATACATGGTGTGGGATTTTGGTATAACTGAAAACCCTGAAATGTGCTATTTAAGGATAAACAAAATGAAATTTTCCTCTATGATGCATCTGAAAACTTGGACACGGGTGAGTTATCTAATGTACAAGATCATAATATTTGCCTAATAGAATGTAAGTAAACATGGGCTGGGGTTATTCTGATCATCTGATGAATGACAAGTAAATAAAGTTAAAAATCAATGGATTTATCTCTACTCTTTAAGCTCAAGTTTTATTCAGTCTGAAATTTGATCACGTTCTCGAGAAACTTACTGTGAAGCACACTCGAGATTAGTCTTATGGGCTATGGCCATTGCTGATACTGTACTCTGGGGAACTCTGTTGTCACTTAGGAGGGTATTTTCCCTGTGTTTAAATTGGTGTTTGTGCTAGTGTCTCAAGACTTTACTCTGATGTCCTGCCAGTAGATTTAGTTCTTGGAATCTTGAACTTGAAGTGGTTCCTCACACCGCTTAATTGTGCAGGAAATGTTGCTTTTGCTTCTTCCCCGCCTAAACTCATCCTCAGTAAAGAAGTTCCTTCTCCCCTTCTCCAAAGATAAGTCGGCAGGTTCTTCTGGTGATGAAGCAGACTGTCCTATATGTCGGTCCAGTCCTAGCATTCCACTAATTGCTCTTCCATGTCAACACAGGTATGTCGTTTCTTTCTGTGCTCCGCCTGTCATATATCTCCCTTTGTGGTATACTCCCTTCGTAGATTCCATCCTACATTTTGCAGAACAAAGAAGCACGTTAGAAAAGCCATGTTCTTATAGCCCTTAGTAGATTAAGGGCACGTTTGGTTCCCAAGTGATCCCTCGCCTTGCCTTGCTCGGCCAGAAAGCGTTTGGATTGCATGTGAGACTATCTCGGGGTCTGCACCGGCAAGGATTTCCTTGCTCACGAGGGAGAGCGAGTTTAGCTCGCCTGCACTGGAAAGACTTGCCTTGCTGGGCGAGGTGAGGCAAGCAGAACCGGCAAGAGAACCAAACTTTCCCTAACATCTGGGATGGTGTTTATTACTCTAGTTCACTGTAGTAGTCTAGTATATAGCCTTGGAAACATCTATGATCATTCAATGAGAAAGACATATATAAGGAAAAGCAGTTGCATAGTCATCTCCAAATTGTAGACTGTAGGATCATTTCCTGGCTTTCTAGGCAACTGCTATAATCATAATTCACTTGAATATCTATTCCTTTTTTTATAGGAAAACCCTGCTTTTAGAGAAAGCATAATGAAAATATCTATTTTTTCTGAAAAAGAACAGAGCGTGAAAAGTCATACTTTTTGTATTAGTTCTACACATGCTAGGTGAATATGCTATATAGCTAGTTTGTATGTTTGTTCCGATAAGATGGTTTCAAAGCGACTTAATGTCTTGACTGTTATAGTATCTAAGCTTTGTTGTGTTGAAATTTTCCTCAGACAAATTCTCTGTTGTTTTCAGGTATTGCTAATATTGCCTACGCACGCGTTGTTCTGCTACAAATTCCTATAGATGTGGTTGTTGCAAGTCAAAGATTAGGATCAGGTTAGTTTGCTAGTTGGGTTAAAGATAAATAATTCTTGCCCGTGTCTACAGAGAAGCAGCACTTTGGTCTTTCGTTGCCCTGTTCGCTTGGCTGATAAGCCATGGCTGAAAGTACTGTTGGCTGATTTGTTGTGAGAGAAAAATATTATTCATTGACTGAAAAAGTACGGCTTATAAGCCAAACGAAGTTTCAATGCTCCATTGAGGATGGGCATCATGAAATGTACATGTAATTGCCCCAAGTGTGGACAGTTTTGATACCATGAATTACTTGTTGTATATTGAATGAATGTATGTCACAGACCGGATTCACTACGAACTCATGAGGATTTCTCTACTACTAATCATGATATATGTTTTGTTTGAATGAATGTCTTTTCAATATGTGTTTAATTGAAACCTTTGCTTAGGTTATGTTGACTCTGAGTGCAGGCCATATGTTGTGATGTCATAAATCTACATTTTAGTTTTAAATTTTTTGAACTAATTATTTGTGATTTCTAATCCAGATGTTAAAATGTAGTGTTTGTTACACCTTTTATTCAAAATGCTTCCTTTTTATTTCATTAAAACAAATGATTCTAGGACCAAGGCTGCGATATTTAGTCTAAGTCACAATTGCAAAAATAATTGCTTCAGCCTGCACTACAGTGCGCAAGATGTCGATATTTCTCTATCAAAGAATTGTGTATGTTGTAATATATTTTTAGAATAATAGTGATTATATTTATGTAGATATGTTATAATGTTTTTAGTCATAAATCGTTTTCTATAAAGTAGCAATTTACTGATTTGCTGTGCTAAACTATTAATATAATTTAGGTACGTACTTCTTCTAGGTTACATTTATCATGGATGCTAAACTATAGAAATATATATGTATTGCTCATTCATGTATGTATATTTGGTATGCTTGGTGTGGCATTCAATGTGTATACGTACGTGGAGTTAGTTTTTATATAATTATAGTGATATAACTTGGTAATTTAGAAACAATACTTATACATATTTTATGGTTAAGTTTTTTGAGATAGTAGATGTTGGCAATTTAGATATAGATTTGTGGGCATATTTAGTCTATTTTTTAAAAAAGTAGATATGATTAATTTGGATGGAAACTTTAGGCGTTACTTAGATTATTTTTGTTTAAAAGACATGATAATTCACATGCAAAAGCTGAGGTTGCTCAATATTATGAAAGATCCACGAGCGGTCTTTAAACATGCACAATGATGTCATCCGGGTCTGCAACATTTGGATTCTAATATTTGAGCCCTTGAATTCGTATGGTGGTGTCATCTAGGACCCAACTCTTTGACTAAACTTGTACCACACTGTCGTCTATGTTCTCGAACTTGTCTCCGATGCCAGCATTGGTCTAAACTGGCTCTAAACTTGACTAAACTTGTCTCGGATAGCGCTTTATTTCAAATCCAGAGACCCAAACATCAAAATTTAAGGGCTAGGGGCCGAATAACACTACAATGTTAAGTTTAGGGACCGCTAGTGAATTTTATGAATAATATTATTTTTCAGAATGAATTTTTTTATTATTATCATTACTACAGAAATGTTTACCGAGGCAGGCAAAAAGCCTTAATCGAGGCGATTTTTGCAACGGCCTCGGTGGAAAGGTCACGGTAAATAGGATATTTTCCGAGGCGGTTCGATGCCCGCCTCGGTAATTTGATTAAAAAAAGAAAAAAGAAAAAGAAAAAGCCTAGATCCAGCCCTAATCGGCCCCGGATCTGGGCCAGGCTCTGCTGCCCCTGTGCTGCGCCATCGTCGGGGGAGCCGTGACCCGCCGCGCTCCGCGTCCACGCTCGCGCCGGTAGCTCGCCGCGCGCCCGCAACCGCCTCGTCTGTGCCAGCACCGTCACGCCCTCTATCTGCGCCGCCATGACCTCGATCTGCGCCGCCCGGCCCTAGATCCGTGCCATCGGAGGAGCTTGAGGGAGAGGGAGGACCTCCTCGCCCAGATCCACGCCGCCAGAGGAGACAGAGGAGCTCCTCGGTCCCCGCGTCGTCGCCGGAGGGAGGAGAGAAGGGGCTCCCCGGGCCGCCACCGGATCCGGCGTCCCCGCGCCGCACCATCGCCGGAGGGAGGAGAGGGGGGCTCGATCCCCCGCGCCGCCACCGGATCTGGCTAGGGGAGGGCAGGAGCGCCGTCGGATCTCGCCTCCCACTGTCGGATCTCGCCTCCTGTCGCATCACCTGCCTCAAGCCGCGAAGGGCGCGGCTGCAACCCTCACCACCGTGCCACCATGAGGCGGTCATTTTTTATTAACCGAGGCGGGCATTTTAAGGTGCCCGCCTCGGTTAATCGATTTTGCGAGGCGGTTGTTGTAACCGCCTCGGTTAATAAAAAAAATGACCGCCTCAATTAATGCTAGGCATTAACCGAGGCCGCTGAAAATCCTGCCTGCCTCGGAGCCCAATTTCAAAACGCCTCACAAAATCTTTTGTGTAGTAGTGTATTTTACAAATTAAAATGTAGCTTTGTTAGGGTTACTTTATGTCTTTTTCTATAACGGTAGAGGTTGATATTTTTTTTAAAAAATGGAATACATTAATGCCTCTTGTTATCAATATTAATGATGATTGGATGTTTCTGTTTTTTTTTGAAAGAGTTTTTAAATTTTATCTTTTTCTTGGCGTTGCCGCCTCTGATTAATAACATTATTATAAGTTTTACTTAGTGCCTGTTTAGTTCCTAAAATTTTGCAAAATTTTTCAAGATTCCCCATCACATCGAATCTTTGGACGCATGCATGAAGCATTAAATATAAATAAAAAATAAAACTAATTACACAGTTTAGACGAAATTCACGAGACGAATCTTTTAAGCCTAATTAGATTATGATTGGACACTAATTGCCAAATAACAATGAAAGTGCTATAATACCATTCCTCAAAAAAAATTCGCCAACTTGTACTAATTTGATAGCTACGGCGTGAGCGACAGGGGAACGAACCCACACAAAATCCAATTAGGTTGCTGCCTGGACGTGTCTGAATTAAACCCTGTCTGTCTGTTAAATGTGACAGGGACTGTGCACCTGAGTGCGTTGGGATGTGCTTGCTAGCTGCATTAGGGTGGCTGGGTGGGTGGCATGTCTCCTTGCAGGACCTGCCTGTCCAACGCATTAGCTGCTACCTATATCTATCTAACTAGCTGTACTACCAGCACCAATTAGCTTTTCTTTTCCTTTAAGCCTCGTTCGTTTTGGCGCGGATTGAGGGCCGGAAATAATCCAGCTGATCATTACTACTATAAATAAACTTGCCATTCCATCCGGAACTGTTCCAGGCCTCCATTCCCCGCTAAACGAACGGGTCCTTAATCTTTTTCATGGCCTGCTTTCTGATGATAGCTGAACTAATATAATCAGGCTTTGTTTTGGATTGCGATGCCATTTTTGAAACTATTTTTAGTTTTAGGATACAGTGGTATTTTTGAAACTCAAGTATATATATCAGTGATACATATATGTCGATATATGATACCTGTAATAATCAACCAGAAGTCAGCTAGCTAATCACAGCTTCAGCTTACATTTCAGTAAAGTATAAGCAATAATACAACAATGTGCATTATTTTCAGTGAAGTTTGGCTCAATCACAAGAACAAATAAAAAATTTACATCATCTACATCATCATGCAAACAAGCTTAATTAACATGATGATGCCTGTCTCTAACGCAAACAGCAGAAGCTTGTGACTGATACAACGAAACCTTAGGAAAACTGCATCATACATATATGTCATCGTATTTACTCGAAGTTACAAGCCATGCATGCATGCATGGCGCCCAAGAAATCTTTAGATAACCGGGCGCAAAAACAGCGAAGCAAAAAGAAACTGAAATCAATCGAGGATGAATTGAAGATTTGAAGCTGGATTAAAGGAACCAACCTGACAACATGTGCCGTTAATCGTGTGTGTATGGATATATGTGTATGTAGTCTGACGATCCCGTGCGTGGGCGTGGTGATCAGATCAGCACGCGTAGAGCTGGGCCAGCTCCCTCATGGCGTCGTCGTCGTCCTCGTCGTGGAGGTCGACGGCGTTGTCCAGCATCCACAGAAGGTGGTCGAACAGCACCACCTCGCAGTTGACGGCGATGGGCTGATCCTTCCGCCGCCCGTCGTCGTCGATGAGCGCGGCGATCAGCGGGTGGCTGAGGTGCTCCGCGCTGATCACGTACCGCCGCCGCGAGCTGCCCACCAACACTGCCACCGCGCCGCCGCCGCCGCGCACAGGCGTGTCGTCGGCATCATCGGCGGCGCCGTCGTCGACGACCGCCGCGGCGGCGTCCCGTGTGGACATGGACCGGAGGCTGCTGTACGAGTACGACGACGCGCTCGGCCGCCCTGCTACCCGTGACAGGCTCTTGCACTTGCGCAGCACCACATTCCTGAACCTGTTCATCGATCTGAAACAGCTTCGCCGGCAACCAAAACGCACAGAACTCAGGAACGGCAGGAATTTCACACAAATCGGTTCAATTTCGGTGGCAGGACAGCGAGGAAAACGCCCAGGTTTGAAACAACAGAGCTAGCATTTGGCGCGGACGACATGGCAGTTCAAGTGTGCAATTGTGCAAATGTATGCGTAGGGCGCTTATAAATGTGAGCTGTTGGCGTGTGCGTATGTGGGTGTGGTGGGTGGCACACGTCGTGGTTGGTTGTGAGCAGGCGAGGACATTGGTTAGCTACCGACCCATCTCTCGGCTCGCTGTACTCTGATCGGTTTCAGAAGGCTACTAGGGTTGGAAGTTGGATGGACAATTGGACATGCAAGTCCACACTCAACAGCTGCAGGTTGCCGAACCGGGAACTGCACGCAGCACGGCTTGCCGTGTAGACGTGTAGTAGATATGCCTCGTCAGATTTGCATGGGCGGCCCTTGCATGCCATGCAGAAGCATGCATGCAATAATGCTGATGGAGGGATGCATGCATGATGCAGTTCGTGCACTAGCTAGGTGTTGTAGTATAGTAGATATGCTCAGATTTGATTTGCAGTTGGTTGTGTGTTCTGCACTCCGGCTTGCATGATTAGCTAGGGCCGGCCGGGGTTTGGCATCATTGCGCAGATGCCAAGCTTTTCTTGATTCGCAGCTTCTTCAGAGAGAGAGATAGGGATCGGACGAAAGTGGAATAAAGTGCGTGAGAGCGACTTTGCAAGAGCTTAGATCGAGCATGATTATTCGTTCGTCAAATAAGGCTCCACCGGCCGGTCGATCAGTTACGGTAGAATCCACGAAGAACAGTCTCTAAACCTGCGCATCGGTGTCATCCGGATCCCAATTCTGAACAGTGGCAGGCTAGCACATGGCCGATAACGGGATTAAATTGCATGGATCCAGGGTCCAAATATCTCACATGGACCCCTACGGCCAACAGCGGGCACTGGGCTTGTGTGACGTCCCACGTCGGGCTCGCGCAATACATGGGCCCTTTTTTTTTTTGGGGGGGGGTTTAATAGATTTGTAGACAGTCTATGGTCTATGTTTTCAACAGCAACTACAGATGCTTCATTTCACTACTAAAGAGCGTTTGTGCCGCAGTACTGTAGGAGTACAACGAGGAGGTCAGGTCACAAGACGAACAAAGCCTAAGGCATTTCTAATAAGCCAAAGGCTCCACTCAATATATATACATCCTAAAATATAGATCATGTTTGAGCTAGAACTTCACTATCTTATTAGCGCCACTCCTTCAGAGTCAGGCGAAGAAAAAGGAGATGATTATTACCAGGGTTCTAGGATTAGGTCTGAAACGACGATTGATTTTCATTCATCTCGGTGAGGCCTGAAACATCATCATATATAGCGGTCAAAAGTTTTGGCAAAACTCAAATGTCTAGTCTTCTGGAGTTCAAACAAATCCACAACTTCTTCCTTCAATATAAATATAATGTGCAAATGTATGAAATTATGATCCATTCATTTTCTATCCGTACGCCTTTATCAGATTTGGCCAAAATTCATACACATATTAGCTAAATTTGAACATTTTGACCGGTCAAGCATGTGAATCATGACCGATAATTTCCTGAGCCTCCATCACTTGTTTCAGGGGTTTCAATTTTTTTTGCCATTTGAATCCCACAACCCTGATTATTACAGCCTGTACGTGCTTAACTGTTGGTGATCAAAAGTTATTCAACTCAAGTCTAGAACCTAAAAACCCAAGGTGCACAAAGCTCATGGAAATTGTAGAGGTTCATGTCCAAGTAATGCAAATTACATATAGATTAATTATAAGTTAGACCAAACACACTCAGGACCGACACTGCTAGGATTATTGGACGATATATGGTGAGTCCGAGTGGCTCCTTGCATTGAGACAGCAGCCCTCAAGGTGTAGCCGCCGACCCGGGTTGGATCCCCGACGGCGTTGGCAGTTGGCACAGGGAGGTCCCTCTCCCTCCGTCGGCCTTCCTTTTGAGAAAAAAAGGGACGACCAGACAAACACACACCTCAAGGGCGGTGTGACGCACCCATCGGTATATAGTCGATTCTGACAGTTAACCCATTTCAGCCCAAATGCTCGAGAGACGCTAGCCTCCCATACGGATGCCCACGCCGCTGCCCCCTCCCCCCTCTCCGGTCCCACGTCCCACGCCTGCCTGCCCACGTCTCGCCTGCTGCGCCCGCCCGCAAGCACGTCGGGACGCCCGCACCAGTGGGGACCGCCTCTGTCTGCACTCGCTTCCCACGCCTGACACCGAGGTGAGACAGTAGAAAGGCGAGGAGGGAGATGCAACACCCGATCTAGTTTTGAAACATCCAAATGCAACAATTGCAACATACGTCTGAAAATAAATGAAATATTTGAAACATGCATCTAAAACACTTGCAAAAACACCTAAATAACACTTGAAACCATTGTAAACATATACAACATCCCAGATATATGCAACATTCAGAATTCCACATAAACACACTTGCAACATACGTAAAAAAACAGATGAAACATTGAGAACAGGAGCTTGCAACATACAAGTACAACCATTGCAACATATGCAACATCACAATCTACTTTTGCAACATCCGTATGAAACAATTAAAACATACCTATGAAACATCTGAAACACTTGAAACATACGTTTGCAACATAGGGGAGGCAAGGCCGGTCAATTCCAGCCATCGGGGTCGGAGCCGGTGGCGAGCAGCGGCGCACGAGCACCCAGCACCAGCGGCGTGAGTGAGCACCACCACCAGCCAGCACCACTAGCATAGGGCTTGGCTCAGCCGGGCGGGCGGCGAGCGCGACGGGTGGAGCGAGCACCACCAGCACCAGGGCCATCGACGAGAGGGAGTCCACGATGGGCGGACGGCGTGGTGGAGGCAGTCACTACGCAACCACGGTGGAAGCGGCCGCCGTTCGGAACACTCTAGACTACGAGTTTGGGAGGCTGCTTGGGCCGGTTTGCAGGCCCATTAAACAAGCGCTCGGGTGTAAGGGTTTCCGGTCGCTGAAGCACGGGCCCATCGACCTTCCCGCCGATGCATTCCTCGGACGTGCTCACACTCAAATCGCCAGGCCTCCACCGGAGTCTGCACATTGATGATATGGACACCGGATCGGATCGGATGACTATAAACTCCCAGTTCAAGCTAGTAATAAAGCGCTGCGTCGTCGTAGCGGTTCTCCCAAGGTAATTTGCAAACTGTGCAATCAACAGGAGATGTTGCATATGCTTTGCCATGAATTTACGGAAGGGACAGAAAGAGCCCGTCTATTAATCTGGTGGGCTGGCTATACTGCTGCTGGTGGGCTGGCCCAGACTAACAAATTGTTCCGAAATTGAATAGTACTCTGGACTATATAGCTATATAAGCCGTCATGGCTCAAGCCTGCCTCCAGGGGGAAAAACATAATCTGAACCAAGAAAAGGAGCAAAAAAAAAAGTAAATGTAACTGATAAATTCGCAATGATCCTTTTAACAAAATTTGGCATTCCAGAAAGGGCCAGAAGGATCATCTGTCGACGGTACCAAGTGATGACTGTCAGTCAAGTGAAATGGTATTACACAAATTTAGTTATGCTAATGCACAAATTAACTTGTTTTTGTTTGTTAGTGCAGATCGAGTGCACAAACTGTTTGTCAGGTTACTAACCTACTACTGGATGTTACTGGCTGCCAAGGTTAGTTTATTTTGCTTTCAGGCCCTTTGAAGCAAGGTATTACACAAAATAAAATGTAACCAGGCTCTAGGCATCATAGAACTAGTACTTAGACCTCCATTAGACCAGTTGGCAGGCAATCAGGCATGTTTGCTCATGGACACAAATAAACTTCGAAAGTCTTACACCAAGGATTCTCTCTACTCAGAAGGGCAAATGAATGACAGGGCTCGCACAAGCACCAGATGCAATCGATAGAAGAGCTCGCGTTAATAGCTATATTATCAGGTTTTCTTAAACATACATTACATCCATTTGTCAAAGTTTCATATGTACAAATTTAAGAGCTTACGACAGTTCACATGGGCACCTAAGTGCCTCCATTGCATGTCGAGTTCCTCATTATGGCATAGAGGGGAACCAAAAACAAAACAGAACACAGGTGCCAGGAGTAGCGATGATTGTCTTGCACGATGATGATCTTACACCATCAGACAGATGTTGTCACCTTGGTCCTGTCCAATGTATCAAAAGAGCAAGCAAAACACAGATTATATTGCTACATGAATGCCATCAAAGTAAATAATATTGCAAATCGACGAATGGTCTAGCATAGAGTCACCATATGGTCATGCTGACACAAAAATATCCACTCTGTTTGGAGATACAAATGTGAAGTTTATGGACTATGCATAGGTTTGGTAACTACTTAATTCATTCATTTCAACAAATGCTAGCTACAGATTACATAGTACACTAAAAATGGTCACAAGAAAATTACTTGTAATTTGTAAATGACAGATGTGCTTATTAAACAAGATCGTTTCAGAAAATATGAAAAATCCATGTCCATATCTCACAAATGTCATTCACCACTAAGCTTGTGTAGAAACTAGACCAAAGAAAAACACATATATTGCATATAGATCAAAATGCCATACCCAATATGAATTGGTTTTTTAAGGCTAGCAAATATGCATCCATAGGCAATTAATCTCTCCATGTGTTCACTTATAGATATGTGAAAGTATGGCTATGATCAAGTACCATTATATTCTAATTGACTATGGTGTCATTCAAAAGAAAATCCAAGGTGATCACACAGATGGTGTGTTAATTAAAGATAAAAAAAGTCTGAACTTACTAAAACCTGAAATTACAAGTGAAAAATAACGTTGGTTACAATTAGAACAGTTAGCTTTTCTTCACTATAGTATTTCAAGGAATATGTATAACAGTCCCCAATTTGACAAGCTTTACAAAATCGAAACAAGGGTAAAAATAAACGTATTT